AATGATTTCTATGAATGGCTGTTCTTCGAGTCGCGTAATAAAGGACGTGTTGCAGCTTACTCAACTAGTGTTCACAATTCTGCTTCTTTGGATGTTTGGCATGGGTGGCTAGGTCATCCTTCAATAAAAACCATTCAATTTTTATCTCATTCAGGCTTGCTTTCATTATCATCTAGTTTTTCTTCAGATTTTTATTGTGAGTCTTGTTTATGTAATAAAAGTCAAAGGCTTCCATTTAGCACCTCTAGTTTAGAGAGTCGTGGTCCACTAGATTTGGTTTACACGAATGTTTGGGGGCCTTCTCCTATTAAGTCTATTGATGGATTTCAATATTATGTTATTTTTGTTGATCATTTCACCAAGTACATTTGGCTTTACCCCTTAAAATTGAAATCTAATGTTTTTCTAATTTTTCATCAATTTTAATCTGTGGTTGAAATTTTTTTTAATAAACCCATTGTTACTGTTTATTCTGATGGCGGTGGGGAGTACACTGCACTTAAAGATTTTCTTGTTTCTATGGGCATTTAACACCTTAAAACACCTCCGCACACACCTCAACATAATGGTACTGCAGAAAGACAACATAAGCATATTGTTAATATAGGATTGACTCTTCTTCACAAAGCAAAAATGCCACAAAAATATTGGTTGTATGCATTTCAAACTGCCGTTTATCTCATCAATCGACTCCCCACTCCAATTTTAAATTTCTCTTCTCCTTATGCAAAATTGTTTCAAAAGACACCCAACTATAACAAACTTCGTGTTTTTGGGTGTTTATGTTTTCCATGGTTAAAGCCATACAAATCTCATAAATTAGAATCTAAATCATCTCCATGCATTTGTCTTGGTTACTCTTTAAATCAAAGCGCATATTTATGTCTTGATCCTACTTCTCACAAGATTTACATTTCTCGTCATGTTCGCTTTATTGAAACTGAATTTCCATTCTCCACGTCCACAATGCCTCCCTCTGACTCTAAAAATTGGTTTTCTTTCACTCCTGCTCACACACAAGCACCTATTTTACTTCTACTCACAAAGGATGATTCGGCCCTCATGTCTACTCCTGCGACTATGCCAATTGAATTAGCTTCGACACTCCCCACACAAAGCTCTCAAGATCGGCCTTCTGTAGAGCACTCAGCGCCAGATTCTACCGCAGGGTTAGGTACTTCTTCTTGTCTCCCTCCTGTGATTCCTATTATTACTTCCACTAACTCTATCCCTTTAGCTTCTATAACTCCAATTACCGTTGGTTCATCTTCTTCAAGTTCTTCCTCCACTTCTCAGCCTGTGTCCACCACTCCATCCATTCCACCAAACAAGCCTTCACCTCTACCATCAGCTAGTCACCATTTACCCCTTCCTAATGTCATAATAATCCGATCCAAAAATAATATCTTTAAGCCAAAACGTCTTTTCCAAGCTGCCACAAAACATCCTCTCTCCAAATCTATTGAGCCTACTTGTGTTACCACTGCCCTCAAACATCTTCAATGGCGCCAAGCTATGTCCAATGAGTTTACCTCACTTCTTCGTAATGGTACCTGGGATCTTGTTCCGCCTGCGGCTTCACAAAATGTGGTTGGCTGCAAATGGGTGTTTCATATCAAACGGAATCCTGATGGTTCTATTTCTCGAAATAAAGCAAGACTAGTTGCTAAAGGTTTTCATCAACGGCCCGGTGTGGACTATCATGATACATTTAGTCCAGTCATCAAACCCACCACTATCCGTGTCATTCTAAGTCTTGCCTTATCCAATGGATGGTCTTTAAGACAAGTGGATGTTAATAATGCATTTCTTCATGGCACTCTCTCCGAAGAAGTTTACATGCAACAACCTCCAGGTTTTGTTGATGCCAATAATCCATCCTTTGTTTGCAAACTTCGCAAGGCTATTTATGGTCTTAAACAAGCACCACGGGCATGGTACAATGAACTCAAGGGATTTCTCTTATCCTATGGGTTTATTAATTCTAAAAGCGACACATCCTTATTTATTTATCATCATAATGCTGTCACTTTATATTTCTTGGTTTATGTAGATGATTTCATTGTCACTGGCAGCAATAAAGACTTTCTCGACCAGTTTCTAAGTGACTTAGCACAAAGATTCTCTGTCAAGGATCTTGGTGACCTCCACTACTTTTTGGGTATTGAAGTTCTTCCCACATCATCTGGATTACTTCTTACACAACACAAGTACATCCGTGATTTGTTAACCAAAACAAACATGATTGGTGCTAAGGAATGCTCTACTCCTATGTCCTCTACCGACTCTTATTCTCTTCATGATGGTTCTCCTCCAACTGATGCAACACAGTACCGACAAGTTATTGGTGCACTCCAATATCTCTCTCTTACACCTCCAGATATTTCCTATGTTGTTAATAAGCTTGCTCAATTCATGCACTGCCCATCCGAAACTCATTGGACTGCTACCAAACGTATCCTTCGCTACTTGAAGTATACTATTCATCATGGTTTGTTTCTAAAACGCCATCAACGTCTTCAACTAACGGCTTTCACAGATGCCGATTGGGCTGGTAATAGGGATGATCGAACCTCTACTTCGGCACACATTGTCTACCTTGGTGGTAATGCTATATCTTGGTGTTCTAAGAAACAAAAGACAGTTGCCCGCTCTTAAACTGAAGCAGAATATCTTGCTTTAGCCTCCTGTGAAGCCGAGGTCCTTTGGTTAAAAAATTTATTAGGTGAACTACATGTCCATTCGTCTCCTCCTCCTACTATTTTCTGTGACAATGTTGGTGCAACATACTTATCCATCAATCCTGTTTTTCACTCCAATATGAAGCATATCTCGATTGACTACCACTTTGTTCGCGATCATGTTGCTCCAGGTTCCTTTGGAGTATCTCACATCTCTTTGAAAGTTTAACTTGCCGTCGCTCTTATGACACCTCTGTCATCATCTACGTTTCAACAGCTGCGCACCAAGATTGGTATCTCCAATGGGAGCACCGTCTTGCGGAGGGATGTTAGAGATTATTTTGTGCATTCAAAATCAACAGAAAATCTTACTGGCACCACTACAACCAAAACCCAAGAATCAAGGAACTTTAAAACCTCTTGACTTTGTGTAATTGATCATGTTTAGTTTTGAATTTTGTAAAGTTATTTTATTTGTTGTAACTACTGAGTAAATCTCAATACCCACGTGTAATACGGTAAACAGCCACAAAGCTTATTTAATCAGCTCCTTTGTGCAATATGAATCAAGGAAGCCATTATATTCATTTCAGTAAATTTAACAAGTAGAAGCACCACTATAGAAGCAAACAGCAATGGTATTGTAGTCTACCTAAGAAAAGCATCATAATAACAAGAAAGGTACTTTTATGAATGAGATTTTATGTAGCTTTAAGGATTAAATTGCCAAGAAAAAAGTACAATGACAAAAGCACCAATACACAAGAAGTTCACGGGCATAGGAACTAGAAACCAAAAGAGAATCATGTAAATTAGGCAATACTCCACTTTGAAAAACTAGTTATCTATCTAGTACACTTTGATGTGAAATTAAACTTAAATTTTCCGCAAAGTGGTTGCAATTAAAATCCAGCTTCTAGAAGTGGTATTTCTATAAGAGTTAATAACATACATGCCCATTATCCAGAATATGAAAAAATGAATGTCCATGAGTTGTGGTATTTACAAGTAAATTTGTAAAATAACTCGTAATAACACTCTTATTCATTATTAACCATCCATAACCACCCACACGAAAAAATATATATTTTGAATGACATTATTTTAATAACTGTAAAATAAACAAATTAATAATATTATTAATTTAAAGACATATTCTAAACATGCAATATAAAAGTAATCATTTTGCATAAATACTTCTTCCTATAATCCTTTTCAATTAGGAGAAATTCACTAATAGTATTCCTATAAGAGTTAATAACATACTTGTCCATTATGCAGAAGATGAAAAAAATAAATGTCCACAAGTTGTGATATTTATACGTAAAATCTGTAAAATAACCCGTAATAACATTTCTATTCTTTATTAACTACCCACACAAGAAGAGTATATTTAGAGTAACATTATTTTAATACTATAAAATACACAAATTAATAATATTATTAATTTAAAGACATATTCTAAACATGCGGCATAAAAGTAATCATTTTATATAAATACTTCTTCTTATAATCCTTTTCAATCCGGAGAAATTCATTAATAGTATTCCTATAAGAGTTAATAAAACACATATCAATTATGCAGAAGATACATTAATGAATGTCCATAAGTTGTGATATTTACACGTAAATCTGTAAAACAACCCGTAATAACATTCTTATTCTTTATTAACCACTCATAACCACCCACACTAAAAGAGTATATTTAGTATAACATTATTTTAATAACTATAAAATAGACAAATTAATAATATATAATTTAAAGAGACATGCAGTATAAAAGTGATCATTTTGCATAAATAATTCTTCCTATAATTCTTGGGACCTTTTTCGATACGCCAACATACTGATAAGTCAAGTTTTTTATCCGTCAAATCTGCATAAAATCACGTAAAAGTTAAAAAATATTCAGATCGAACTGTTAAAAAACTTAGCCTACTAATATACCAGACGTATCAGAGAATCTCTCATAATCATTTTCAATTAGGAGAAATTCACTAATAGTTGGCTGAAGAAGTCCATCAGAATATGGATAATCTTGATAAATTCTCCTTAAAAATGCATGAGCCATAATTTTTACGTATAATAAAAAGATATTTTTTAAGAGTAAAAAATAAGAGTATAGATCGTGAATTCTCCATTTTTTCTCGGAGTATTCATGACTTTAGCTCCAAGATGTCAAAGGATGTCCATTACATTTTGGGTTCTAAAAACTAACCCATTAGGCCCAAAAGGACAACACCCAGCCCAACAAAAGAGATCAAGGGCAAATCAGTAGTTTCAACAAAAGCAACAAAACCCTAATAAAATTTCCATCAACCTCTAAAAGGCCTCCATTTCCCTTTCAAGCCTCTAATTTCTCTCCGTCTCTGTCTCTCTGTGCTGCGCAACAACCCAAACCCTAACAAAACCCTAGAATCCCCCACCAGCCATGCCGCCGAAGTTCGATCCCACCCAGGTCGTCGACGTCTACGTCCGCGTCACCGGCGGCGAGGTCGGAGCGGCGAGTTCTCTCGCGCCGAAGATCGGTCCGCTCGGTCTCTCCCCCAAGAAGATCGGAGAAGACATTGCCAAGGAGACCGCCAAGGACTGGAAGGGCCTCCGCGTCACCGTCAAGCTGACGGTCCAGAACCGCCAGGCAAAGGTCTCCGTCGTCCCGTCGGCGGCGGCGCTGGTCATTAAGTCGCTGAAGGAGCCGGAGAGGGACCGGAAGAAGACGAAGAACATCAAGCACAACGGGAACATCTCGTTGGATGACGTCATCGAGATCGCGAAGATCATGAGGCCGAGATCCATGGCGAAGGACCTCTCCGGAACCGTGAAGGAGATTCTCGGCACCTGCGTTTCCGTTGGCTGCACCGTCGACGGGAAGGACCCCAAGGATCTGCAACAGGAAGTCACGGACGGTGATGTTGAGATTCCTCAAGATTGATGATTTGCTTTTTTTTTTTGGTTTTTCTACTCTCTTATCAGTTTTGGCTCTCGTTAAATATCAATGTCTCAGAGTTTTTAAGTTTCTATAGAGCTTTGAAATGAGGTATTCATCAATTGTGGAAGCTTAATTTGATGGAGGAGAATGTAAGTTGAATTTTCTTGTCCTTTCTTTTTTCCCTGGATAATGTCTGAACGTATATGCAATTTTTAATTCAACAATGTAGTTTTCTCATTGAAAATGTTGGTCCGAACTCACAACTTTTTTTTTTTTGGGTTTCTGATAGCTGTTTTTGTTTAAAGCCCATTGCTTGTTTCTTAAAGATTGAACTTTTTTTTCTAGATGCTAATTAAACTGAGATATGCATATTGCAAAAGTAGTTCAAAGGGGTATTAGTTAAATTTTTATTTGTTTGGATTAAGAATGGATTTTGGTTTGAATGAATGCAAATGTGCACGGTTTGGCGTTGGTCTTAGGATTTGGCTTGGACTAAGGGCTCGTGATTAGCAAATAAGTTGTGTTATATAGTTAATTTTTTCTTGATTGATGGCTATGGTTTTGACTTTAGATTGAGAAATTTGCTGAAATGACTTAGAAAGTGACTTTGGTCTTTTTTCATTTTATACTGAAGTAGGTGATCGGGCTAAAAAGTAGCAGTCTTAAAAGCGTATTCATTTTGCAAATAAAAAGTTTTAATGTTATTTTACAAATGAGTGTTTCTCTTAAAGTCAATTTTGTTTGCAGACCTACTCTTTCCTTTTGGAGATTGGGGTTTTAGGTTTTGATCAATTGAACATTTTGGTTTGACTTGAAATGTCGCATTGTTGTGAACAAAGCTTTCCAATAGTTTGTTTCATAGGTTCAACTACTATTCAAACCTTTTGATACAATGTTTCTTACAAAATTTAAATTTATGTTTAAACTCATAAACCAAACGGGCCCTTTGTTACTTACATAATCAGTTTGAAGTGTTGGCTATGGGGTCAAGTATTATGGTTGTAAGAACTAATCATATAGGTCTGAGAAAGCCAAGGAGCAATGCTTCTTAAGTTTGTGGTGGTGCTCTGCGGGCCTACAAGACTTGGGCCTCGTTTGCTTCGCGGATTCTAGTTTTCAATTCGAGTTGAGATGTGATATTTTCTGAGAGTTTTTAACTGTAGCAAAAAAAGTTAGATGTGACGTTTTTTGAGAGCTTTTAACTGTAGTAGAAAAAGTTAGATGTGACGTTTCTGAGAGTTTTTAACTGTAAAAACTTAGAATTGAAAATAAAATTGAAAATTTAAATCGGTGAAATGAACGAGGTCTTGAGTTGCAGAATCCTTATTTTTTTTGAACTGTGTTATAGAAAAGCTAAATGCTTGTTTTGTACGAGGTTTTTTTCCCCTAAGAACAAGCGATTAGGTTTTTTATCCCAAGAACAAGGGATTTGCTTGTTAATAGCAAGATAGCAATTTATGATTCATTTACAAATTTCATTTCATCTTGGTTCTAATATGGTTCTAAGTTTGTATCTTGCATTGCTTCTTCATCTGTCCGAAAATATCAAAACTTGGTTTCTTTTTCTTCTCAACTGAAGTCATCACCATCGCAAAAAGAATGTGTACACATAACTAACTAAAGAGAACAGACTTGAAGCATAGAAATTTAGAAAGCCTTGATAGACCAATGCTGATATAAACATGTATCCCACAACTATACGTCAATGATGGTTGCGCCTGAAAACTGTGGATAAGCAATTAAAACATGAAGAATATTAGACTAGGGCAACGAATATTTGAGCATACGACGATGCCAAATCTAACGAGTAAGAAGATGAAGGTTCTTATGGGAGCTCGATTTCGATTCGGGATTAGGGCTTTTAATATGTTGCACGTTCTGAGATAAAAAAATTAGATGTCCTTTTTTTGTGTTCTTGACCAGTTAAATTACGAATTAATAGAAAATAATAGGGATTGGTTTAGTTATAGTGCAACAACATCACAATGACTGCAGTCTTAAGATTGCGTTGTGATATATTGGAATCAAATATTGGTTTATGAATTTCCTCAGCAAAGAAGAGGAGAAAGGGAGGAATATAGAAGGAAGATGATAATGGCTAGGCCACTCGAGTTTTGTCGTTTGGAAACTAAAACCACCAAGGGAGTAACGGGAGTTTGGTAAGGGGGAATATGCAATTATCTTCCCTCTTAAAGCAGCAATTTCTTTTTCACAAAGTTTTGTTGGTTTGTAAATTTTATACGTAGCTAATATGAAACACTTCTTTGGCCACAAAAAGACCAACAAATAAAAAAAAAAAAAAAAGAGCATTATATCCTCGTTGTTGTCCAAATTAAGGAAGGGAAAATGAAAGGAATTAACATAGAAAAGGATATTGGAAATCTGTTCTCCTAGTTTCTGTACACGTTTCACGTCTTTTGTGGTCTAAATACTTTCCCAATAAAGCCGGGAATGTTAGGTTTGGTTTTTCTTATATAAGTTTAGGAGTTTTGCCTGATATTATGAACGTCCATTTACCGGCATTTTTCCAAGCTTTCCACATGGACTCTTTGATTACCGTCAAATGGCTTTTGATTGATAACTACTTGTGCCCTCCTCTTGATATTTTCTTAATCTTCTCTTCCTATATAACCCCCCTCTTAACTTGGCATCTCCGAGTCAGTTTCTTGTTCTCTCACATATACAAAAAGCCCTTTGCAAAGATCTTTTTGGGATTAACATTTTGTCTCTCTTCTTTCTTGAACCAAAAAAAAAAAAAAAAAATCAGGAGGAAGAGAGAAAAACCATCAACCATCCCAATTAAGATCTACGCTTTGTGCAAAAGATAACCGCCTCTTTCGCTTTGTTCAATTGCAATATTCAATGGCTAAGGAGAGGAAAAACTTGAACTCATGGCTTGAGGTGGCTCCGGCTCCCATAATTTACCCGCAAAAGCCCTCGAATTCGCCCGGTTTGGAGACAATCGCCGAAGAAGCTTCTGAGGAATGCGAAAACAAGCCGGGCATTGGCCGCCCTTCTTCTCGTCCCTCGAACTTTGGATCTGTGAAAGTGAAGACATGTCCTCGTTTTTGAAGGTCTCCTCATAGGAATTCATCAAGCGTGCCTTGGTGGTAAGAAGCAATATGGCTAAGACAAGGGTGGCTTCAATTGGATGATGAGAAGAAATTGAGCCAAGTTGAGAGTGGCATTGTAAATTTTGTAATTAGTTGTCCCCTTTTTTGGTATCCAAAAAATGTAAAAGAAATCTCTGAGGCTAATGGAAGGTATCTATTTGCTTTTAAATGCCAGAATTTGTTCAAGTAATGGAATTAGTGACATTAATTTAGCACTATCTGGCAAAATTATAATTTCTTGATGTTTATGAGTTCTTTTGGTTTTATTCATGCTATTTTCGGTTCTAATTCTTTAATGCTGGGGACATCAATGTGTTGCTATAATTAGTACTTACGACGGGTTAGTTTACTAGTTTAGATACCAATTCTCAACCAGCCAACCAACTTATATTCGATTTTTTTAGGGAAATAAGGCCACAAAAAAAAAAAAAAAAAGTATAAGAAAACACTCAAGTGTTGCTTAGATTTATATAAGATATGATTTGATGTTTAAAAACTCACATTATGACTAACTATAGAAGTTGCATAAATATAGCGGCAAGTTGGATTTATGATACGTTTGGTTTATTGATTAGAATCATTTTTGATTTACGTGTATTTTTTTGTGAGAGAAAACGCTGTAGCGAACCATGAATTATGATTCGAATCAGGGTACGAATCTCCTTACCAAACGTCACATAGTATATATTAATTTCTTATCTTAGTAGAAAGTTTCAACTAAAAACTCCAATACCGAATGTGGATGGAGAATTATCACCGAGCTAAACTTACATACAACCATAATTCATATGTTATTTTCTTACTAATAGGTTTTTTAAAATCCTAAACCAACATCAAGATCAATTCTAGGTCCTACTTCTTCAAGATTATATTGTAGAATGTGTATCGGCCACTAAATTCTCTCATTTAACACCACATAAAACATTTGTTAATTAATCTCACATTTTACCCAAGTAATGATTCCTTGATGCAACGGAATGGATAAATAGAATTTTACCTTCCTAAGCCGAATGAAAGATGTAACATAATATATAAATTCAATTAGAGAAAACTCACAAAGAGAAAACCTAAAATAGAGAAAAATAATCAAGTCTAACTATTACAATTGATAATACGATTATTTATAACTCACACGATAATAAAAAAAATACTTAATAAAACAAACGACATACTAAATAGATAAAATAATAACAAAATTAAAGCTAATTAGATAAACCATAGTGTAACAAAATATAATATATTATAATAACAAAAACAGAGCAAAAGCAGGGAATCCAATTCCACACACAAAAGCAAGACAAAACAAAGCACGCTTCCTAGTTTTTAGAGAAGAAAAGATAGAAACCTAAAATTTGGTGGGATTTGGGAAGTTCTTTTTGTTTTTTTTTTTTAATCTCCGCTTTTTTGCCGTCTAATAAATTTGTTGGGGGGTTACTTAAGAAATCAGAAATAACCCAAAATGTGACACGTGTCATTCCACGTTTTCCATACTTGATTTGAGCTCAAACCACATTTTCCCAATACATGTCACGTGTCACACTTTACCTTATGAGTGGGACAAACATAATAAACATTACATTGCTGCCATGCCACTCCACTTGGTATAGAGAACTTTCTGTTTTTGTTTTTGTTTTTCATTTCAAGCATTATAAAGGGGCCAACCCACCAAACTTCACTACAAGTGCGAACTACATATCTCACATTTCTTCTATTTCTTCTCTCTCTAGATATTTCTCTTTCCAAAACAAAACACCAAAAACACCAAAGTTTTCTTGTCGTTTTAGAAAGACAAAAGTTTTTGTTTTTGTGGAAAAAATGGCAAAGAAGATGAGATGTTTGGATGCTTGGATTGAGGTTGCTCCAGCCCTTTTGATTCCCCACAACAAGACTTCCAATTATCCTCGATTGGAGACGATTACAGAGGAAGAACTTGAAGCTGAGGAATACGACAATGAAAGAATAGTCATATTTTCTTCTTGTAACTTGGGTGAAGTATCCCACTAATATTTTTGTGTAAGTTTGGAGATTGGTCATTTTGATGTATTGAAAATAGATTCAAACCCTTCTGGTTGTAGCTCAAGTTCACAAATCAATGAAATTGTTTTGTTTTGTTTTGTTTTTTTTTTTTTTTTTTTTTTTTTTTTTTTTCCCATATGCCATATG